AGAATAGAATTTAAAATCCTTCTCCTAACATACAAAGCCCTTAATGACAAGGCTCCATCGTATCTTAAAGACCTCATAGAGCTTCATCACAACAAAGCACTTTGCTCTCAGGTTTACTTGTGGTTCCTAGAGTCCACAGAAGTAGAATGGGAGGCAGAGCCTTTAGCTATCAAGCTTCTCTCCTATGGAACCAACTCCCAGTCTCAGTTCAGGAGGTGGACACCCTCTCTACCTTTAAGATTAGACTTAAGACGTTCCTTTTTGATAAAGCTTATAGTTAGGGCTGGATCAGGTGACCCTGAGCCTTCCCTTAGTTATGCTGCTATAGGCCTAGGCTGCTGGGGGGCCCATGATGCTCTGAGTTTTTCTCTCCTCCCCTCCTGCTCTCCTCTCCTCTCTCTCCCTATGCTTCTATATGCCACCATTACACACTGTTGCCAAGTGCTTGCTCAAGGGGGATTTGTTGGGTTTTCCCTATGTAATAATATTGATAACAGTAAGGTCTAGACCTTAGTTTGTAAAGTGTCCTGAGATGACTTTTGTTGTGATTTGGCGCTATACAAATAAAATTTGATTTGATTTGATTTTGCATCCCTAGTTGAATCCAGATGTAAACCAGGCCCAAAGGTTCAAATGGTGTTTGGCCTCACTGTGTTACTCATGCCACATTTTGCTTTATAAAAATGATCGAGTTGATTTATATGCAAGAAAGCATCAAAAGATAATGTGTGTGAGACATCATCACTTCATTTTGTTTCCAAATTGAGGTTTTGAGTGAACACTGTCCGGTCAGTCTGTTTTACGTGTCTGGAAAAAAAAGAGAGACCATCCAGTGACAAAATATTTTTAAGGCTTTTTATCACATAGTAAGTTATGATTTCTATCAAGGTTTTACAGTGTCAACAAATATGAATGATTACACTTGTAACATTTATTCATCTTCTTCTCTCCATCTATATCTATTTATTATTGTTAAATGTATTGCTTTACATCTTTAATGCTCTCTGACTTGAGTGCTTTCCTTCTTTATCGTTAATATTATTTCAGAGGTCCGCATTGCAGCGGTGGAGGCATTATGCCAGCTGGCTCGGTCGTCTCCCAGCTTCGCCGAAAAGTGCCTGGACTTTCTGGTCGACATGTTCAACGATGAGATCGAGGAAGTGAGGCTACAGTCCATCCATGTGCTGAGAGAAATCTCTACCCATATAACACTGAGAGAGGACCAGCTGGACACTGTGCTTGCTGTGCTGGAGGTACATACATGCAAACTGACAGTTTATCTGTAATCCCAAACCCTGAGATATTGTTTATTCAGGCCTGAGACACACACTGATGAAGTTGCTTTCTGTCTCCAGGACTCGTCTCGTGACATCCGAGAAGCTCTCCATGAATTACTTTGTTACACCAACGTCTCCACTAAAGAGTGTATCCAGCTGGCTCTGCTGGAGCTGCTGAAGAACCTCAACAAGTATCCTACTGACCGCAACTCTGTCTGGAAGTAAGACTCTGCATTAGTGTGATGTAGTTATTAAGGTTAGAGGAAGGTCCTAGGAAAACATTATCTCAGTGAGTGTCCTCAAAGCCCTTGATGTGATTTTTACACCTTAGAGTTGAGACATTTTGAATGTTCCATGTTCAGGATTCACTGCAAGCTTTAATTTTTTTTCTTCTTGTCACCACAAGAAACAAATAAGAAGGAATGAACACTGAAGTAAACATGTTGAAGACACTTGTGCTGCAGCTGAGATTGGTGAAATAACAGTTCATGGTTCTGGATGTCATAGCAACACAACATGCTGTCTGGCACATGAGGTTTCCAGGTGCACAGCAGTCAGAAACAGTAGCTGTCGGAGTGGGTGATGTGAAGAGTTACCACTGTAAATAAAGCACAAAGAAAAGGTCACACAGATTTTCATTTTGGCCACCAACAGTACTCCCTTAGTCCATGTCGACTCTCCGTCCTCATCAGAGCAACAACAGGGCCCCGACTCGGGGGTTATATTTTGTTCTTATTAAAGATTCAAAATGCAGAAATTTGCTTGTTGTGTTCATACAAACACTTAATGTCATTTTGATGTCAGCTCCAGTTTATGGATCACGTGTCCATTGTCTTAAGAAACTCCATACAACAGGGTTCAAAGCTTAAATGCTGCTCTGTCCTTGAGAAGTTCACATTATGAAGATGCTGTGTTGTC